AATGGAGCAGGCTTTCTTCTCTCATCCTGGTTTTATCAGCTACATCCTATGGGCTTATTCCATGGAAAACCAATTTATCCTTTACCTTCTCAAAAAGTAAACTAAATTTCTTGATGACAGTTTAGTGCGTGTTTTCCAGCTGTGGGCATTTGTAAGTGGAGAAATGCACATTCATGATAGGCCACGTGACAAGCGCGAACCCAACCCTGGGGAYCTGATYGAGATCAAACGGCAAGGTTACCAGCACTGGGCCCTCTGTGTGGGGGATGGATATGTCATCCATGTCACATCTGCAGGTAAGGCTGGTGCAGCCTGGCAGGGTGCAGAGTGGGTGTTGGGGTGCCCCAGGAGCCCTGTGTCCCTCCATGGGCTGGTGATGGACCCTGTGTGTGTAGCTGGCCTTTCCAGGAGCAGTGAGAAACCCATCTGAGATCCTGGAGGGGCCAGAGAGGATCTGCCTGCCTGCCTTATCTCCTCTCTGCCCTCCCCAGATGAAAAGGGTCCACCTAAATCAGACACCACAGAGAGAATACTCACCAGAAAGGCAAAGGTGAAGAAGCTGCTCCTAAAGGATGTGGCCAAAAAAGATGAATGGTGTGTCAACAACAAGCATGACTGGTACCGCGTTCCATTCCCTGTGCTGGAGATCATCCGGCGTTCTGAATGCTGGATTGACAAGGAGGTGCCATATGATGAGTGTGGCAGCAACTGTGAGCTCTTTATGACAAAGCTCCGCTATGGTGATGCAATCTCTTTCCAGGTGAGTGCCCCGGGCTGAGCCCCTGTGTGCCTCCCAGGGCACCTCCTGGCTGCTCTCTGCTCGCTGCGGGGCTGGGACACAGCCTGCACCCTGCATGGGGACAGCCAAGGGCCAGGCGTGGGCTCCAGAGCAGCACTGCCTCTGGGCTGCCACAGCCCCTGCACCTGGAGGGTCACTGTGCTCTGTCTGCACCCTGACACTGCCCTCTTACTGAATGCCACCTCCTTGCTACAAATGGGACACGAGGGGAGAGCTTGCACAAGTCCCTGACTCTGCCCAGGCCTCTGGCAATGCACTGTCGCTGTATTAGGGCAGCCAGCACCTGCTTTTATCAGTGACTTCCTATGGGCTCTTTGTATGGGAAAATTAATTTTAACCTTAAATTTTCCAGAAATAAACTAAATTTCTTGCTGAAACTTTACTATGTGTTTTTCAGCTGAGGGATTCTGCGTGTGGACAAGAGCACATTCCTGATTTGGCACGTGACAAGTACTACCCTAATCCTGGGGACCTGATTGAGATCAGACGAAGACATTATATATTCCCATATCAGCACTGGGCAATCTATGTGGGAGGTGGATATGTCATCCATGTGACAGATTTAGGTAAGGTGGTGCATCCTGGAAGGGTGCAGAATGAGTGTTTGGGTGCCCCAGGAGCCCTGTGTCCCTCCATGGGCTGGTGATGAACCCTGTGTGTGTAGCTGGGCTTTCCAGGAGCAGTGAGAAACCCATCTGAGACCTTGGAGGGGCCAGAGAGGATCTGCCTGCCTGCCTTATCTCCTCTCTGCCCTCACCAGCTGGAAAGATTCCACACACGTCAGGCAGCAGAAGGGCGTGGGTGAAGAAGGAGCCCCTGAAGGATGTGGTGGGAAATGACAACTGGGATGTCAACAACAASTATGAYTGGYACCRCGTTCCATTCCCTGTGGAGGAGATCATCCGGCGTGCTGAGCGCTGGATTGACAAGGAGGTGCCATATCGTCTGCTTCTCCGCAACTGTGAGCACTTTGTGACAACGCTCCGCTACGGAGAGGGGCTCTGTTTCCAGGTGAGTGCCCCGGGCTGAGCCCCTGTGTGCCTCCCAGGGCACCTCCTGGCTGCTCGCTGCTCGCCGCGGGGCTGGGACACAGCCTGCACCCTGCATGGGGACAGCCAAGGGCCAGGCGTGGGCTCCARAGCAGCACTGCCTCTGGGCTGCCCACAGCCCCTGCACCTGGAGGGTCACTGTGCTCTGTCTGCACCCTGACACTGCCCTCTTASTSAATRCCACCTCCTAAGGCTATAAATCTGGGTATTACCCCTTCTGCTAATGGGGCACATGTCCCTCACTGATTTAATTGCCCTGATTGCCCTGCCAGGTCTCAATTGGGGGTAAATATAAGTGTTTTTCATGTCTCTATCCTATGTTCTACTTTCCCGTTACAGGCCCGGAAGGGAATACTACATGGCAATACCGCTTTTACTGCAGGTGCACTCGGCCTTCTTGGTGCTTCTCTTCTGCCCATTGCTCCCTTTGCACCACTTTATGGTCTTGGTATGGCTGGCTGTGCGCTTTCAATTTCTTTCTCTATAGCTTTTTCATCCAGTATGGCCAACTTACGGAACGCACCACTGCATATACTAGAAGATACGTGCTGTTAGCAAGAGCTCAAGCAAGACATGGAGTCCCTGATCCGTGCCCAGCTTTTGCCACAACTGTCATGAAGGCTTACTAGCACGGCTTTGATAATTAATTCAAAGACTCAATCAAATGTAAAAAACAAAATTAATCTTGCATATAATCCTCTTTGTCTATTTGAGGATAGGTTTGTGTTCAAGCTCAACAGTTCAGCCTTGCTTGTCCCTGCCCACACTGCAGAAATAATAAGTCAAGAATGTCACCATTCAAAGTGACCACCAGCAGCACTGGCCTGGTGGCCACATCTCTTTTTGTTTCATTGTCTGTGATGGTTTTTCTAGTAGTCTGGAAGCTTTTGTAAGTAGATTATCCATTCCTTTCCCCATTACTTCACCTTCCATGCTCTTCTGAAGATGGAGCAGACTTTCTACCCTTATCCTGGTTTTGTCAGCCGCATCCTATGGGCTCTTTCTGTTAATCGATGATTTTAATCTTAGCTCTATGAAAAGGTAAAATAAAAGTATTGCTGAGGGCCTGAGTAGGTGGGAACGTCCTGAGAGACACAGCARTGAAGATGTGTGYTGCAGCTGCCTGCRCTGGCACTCTCCCCCTGTGATGCAYCCATGCAAAGGSAGARAAACAGTCCTGGCTGAGCCCTGGCATCTGGGAGCATCCCCAYTGAAGCGCCTCCATGAGCCTCCTGCCTTCCTGTTTCCTTACTGTGTGATAACATGTTACTCATTCTTGTGGAGATATATATATATATATATGCATATATGTATGTAATACATATACATGTCAGCAATACGTAATAGGGTTTGGCTCTGGAATATGGGGAGAGCTGTTTTACATTTGAAAAAATGGGAATGAGCCAGCTTCTGACATCAGAGGCATTTTTCAAGCCAAGCTGGATTCCAGAAAACCCAGGCCAAGGACTGTTTTATTCCCTGGTGGAGCTGTGTGGCCAGACGCAGGAGAGGGCAGCAAGGTGGGGCAGCGGGGGCCGGGGCCAGGCACTGCCTCTTGTCCCACATTCCCATTCGGGCAGAACCCTGCCTRCTTCAGAGGAGGTGTCTGAAAAACTCGTGTGTGCTGGCCCTCAGGCAATACAAACTGYGCATCCACAAATGAGCAACTAGATAGCAATTCTGGCCTTCCAAGATCTGCTTSCTGGCCCTGCTATAGGCTGCTTCCACAATCTTGTCAAGCAGTTTGTGAGTGATTTTTAAGGAATCTAGACATATGCCCCTCCATTGAGGCATGTGCTTTCTTTTCCAGCCTTAGTTCCTTGCACATAAAACAGGATTATATCTATTTTTGCCTTCCAAAGGCATTGAGATGAGCAGTAGGGTGATGGGAGATGTAAAGGCCTTGGGTAGGTTTTCCTGGTTGGGGTGTTTTATGGACACCAGGAAAACGAAACTCAAGATGCTCACTTAGGAAGAGAAGTTTAAAGGGCTGATCTTTGAGCTGTTGTTTTTCAGYCACTATTATTTCTAAGAAGCATTGGTTTTTAAATAACATAGTGTAGAAGATTACTGATGTGTGCCTTGAGATTTAATTTAACTGCCAAAAATTTGTACACAATAAAATTCATTTTTATATTAAAAACAAGTAGCATTAATGTACTGTTAGGAGTAGAAAGTRGAAATACTCAAATACACTGAATATGTGTTTTTTTAGGTTTTGGATTCTGATGTTGCAGCAATTCAGTTCAAGCACACAGAGCACACAGAGGTCAGTGTTAGCCCTAAAYATCAAGTCACTGCAAGGCAGAAACTTGGTTCAGGGACAAAATTTGACCCAACCTTCTCATATACAATGTTCAGAAAAACCTATCACAGCATGGGTGGGCCATGGCATGAAAAGGAAAGGGTCTGTTCTTCTCCCTGCCATGTCTTTGCCTGGAGGGTTTCTGGATCTCTACGCTTAACTACCTTGTCATTTTTTCTCCTTCCACATTTTTCTCAAGACAGATATTCCAGGTGTGTTTGGGGAAGCAGAGTGCATTGGGTGTCCCTGYTTCTTGCTCAGCTCCTTCCCTCTGAGGAAGGCACCTGGGCACTGTGATGGCAGGTGTAGCCACAAAGGCCACTGCTAATTCAGGGCAAACAGAACTCAGCAGCAGCCTGAGAGCTTTTAATTACCCTGAGGGCATTAGGAGAATATGCACAGGGCTGTTCAGTTATGTCATTCTCAGCACAGTTCAATAAATATTCTTAATCTAGTCAATAAATCTTTCATYGTGTAAATGTTAGGATAATGCTCCATCTGTTGAAATTAAGTGTTGCTGATTTTGGTGCTTGTCAAWTCTCACCTACCTTCTGTAAATTACATGAAGCAAAATCTGTGAGACCACAGATCAGAGTTGCAAAGATCACATGCCTTTAGGGACTTTCTTAGACCCTGGCAGGCTACATCTCAATTGCAAGCCTAAAGACCATTGAAATCCTGAAGGAATAACAATATGTAAACATTAAAGTCAATTATATTCAGAACTGTACTGTTTAATTCATATCGCAAAATGCATTAACTGACTTCAGCACTTCAGTACATGTGATACCAAACTCAAAATGTTCATCTTTTCTAGTGGCCCGGACAAATCATACACCCCATATCAAGTTCTAGGATCATTAGTAGTTATTAGYRCAGCAGAAACTTCAACACCACAGARATAATTATGCCATAATGAATGAAAGAAGAAATTCATTGCAAGAGGAGAATAATCATATTCCAAATACTTCTTAAGAAAGCAGAGAGGAAATTACTATCTGATGCAAATTAATGAGATKAAATTAATAAGTGTCAACCAATAAAAGACTCCTCCAGTGGGACCAAACTGCAGRCACGTAGTACAATCTCTTCTTGGCCCTCCTCCAGTGCTCCAGGGAGGCTCCAGTGAGGATGCTGATCAGGCTCACAGCCCACCAAAAGGCAGGCAGCTCGAGCACTGCCAGAGTGATCTCCACCAAGGTACCCTTGCAGGCAGTGTCTCACATAGGCAGCAGAACAAAACTGGATMCATGTGTCAGAATAAATTCATGTAATTAAAAATGTCCTCTGTAAGGTATTACAATGTAAAGATTCTTTTGCCAATGTGTCCAATGTGGGCCTGGCTGGGAATGTGCTGGGGATTTGCCAAGAACATGAGGAGGAACTATTGCTGTATGCATGGATCTCATTAGCCTATTTGCATAATTACTCTTTCTTAAATGTTCACTTTTTAAACGCATTGTAAGACTAGCTGTCAGCTAAGCTGAAAACAGGCAGTGACAGTAAAGGAATTTAATTCCACTTACAAAATATGCTATTGTATATTTAATAAGATATAAATGTTTGCTGGTTTTATGTGATGTTTGGCAGCTTCACAGTGTCTCTCAAGTATTAATTAATTAATAAGCCAATTATGATCAGAGTGAGAACAAGGTATAATGTGCTGGAAACAGAAGAAGATTTGATGGCCCAGAGGGACAACAGGTCCTGGATTCATTGTGCTTTTTTATAGAGCTGCTTTCTTCCAGACTCATTTCACTGTGACTGTGCTAGTAACAGGGGATGCTAGTGGTGATCAAAGATAAACATATCTATTCAAAGCTCTCCTTAACAGACCAGACTAAATGGTAATGGGCTGTGTTGTGGTCTCGCAGACACACCTTGTCAGCCAGCAGCTTCTTAGAGGGGAGGACTCTGATATGAAAYGGGAGGACTCTGATAAATAACTTCTGTGACAAAATTACAGTGTCTTCATCCAGCCCAGCCTTGCATGTCTTCAGCCTGAACATACGTTTTCCAAATTCTCAAAAGCATTTGGCCCTCAGCTGCTCCTCAGCTCAAGGCTTCCTCGAGGCTCCTCACAGCTTCCCCTCAAGGCTGCTCAACATTCCTTCCCCTCCTCTGGACACCCTCCAATAGTTTCATGTCTTCCTTACATTGTGGTGCCCAAACTGCCCCCAGCAGTGGAGGTGAGGCTGCCCCAGGGCAGAGCAGAGCGGGACAATCCCCTCCCTTGCCCGGCTGGCCATGCTGTGCCTGATGCCCCCCAGGACAGGATCGCCCTCCTGGCTACCAGGGAGAAGTTTATCAGCTTACACATCTGTAAACAGAAAAGTTAATGCTTAATTTCCACTTTGGCAGCAACTGTGCTGGAAGCCAAAAGTCAGACTTGAGAACTGTAAGTCATGTGATTTCCCAGCACAGGGGTCTAACTGAGGTGACCATAACATTTCTGATGTTATGCAATTGCAACTCACAAAACAGTACCCAAATATGGGGGAGGGAGAAGACTGAAACAGCATAAAAGTCTTCAATATTTTGTGAATTTAAAAAGTCACTGTGAATATTATATTTATTTGGAAAAAAATAGAACCTAATGATCTGGGAGGTCAGCAGTAATCAGCCTTAGACTTGTGCTAAAATGACAGCTTAATTTCCTCGTACTTCCATACTTCCATCTGCTCCACATTGTGTCAGCCTTATAACAACAGTCACTGCTCACTATTATGTGTTATGTTACAACTGGCCACAAGCCCCACGGGTATCTGAGAGCATGATTTTGGTTATTGCGGCACCTAACTAAGAGCAAAAGATTTAGATGAAGACTTTTGGAGATTTACCCAGCACTTGGCTTCTCTGAAGGAGTGACAGACTATTCCGTAGAGCTAGTGGAACTAAAATAGCCTGTGAAARTGCTTCCTGCTTAAAGACTGGAATTGAAATGAATTATTCACCTGATAGATTTGGTCCCTCATTAAAAATTGAATACATTCTTCAACATTCACTGGGCCAAAGAGACACCAGATCAGGGTGCCAGCCTTTGGACACTGAAGCTGTATCTGGACTGGAATACCACAAGCTTATGAGGACCAGGCTGCCTCCAGGCACTACCATTAATATTTCAAACATGAAGTTTCAGTCTTGGATGGAAGTGCAAAGTTCAAATTCAATGAACTTTTCAGAGTGACACATTGGAGTTCTCTTCAAAATCCCTCTCCAGAGGGCACTGAAAGGTTGGTAGCATCAAATCCAACAATTTCAGCAGCCCTGCAGCATTTCATGTGTTTTGCAGGGTTTCAAGCATACTCTGCTAAAAATCCAAGCACATATTAGTTAGACTCCCAGCATTTATAGGTTTCTCCCATTTTAAGGACACTCATGAACACAGATGACATGACAATGTTTTGTATGCAGACTTCCTGCTTACATTTTGGCAGAAATGCCTACCCAGCATTTCTACATGTAAATTCAGGAAGTAACCATCCATGACTGTTTGTCCTCTTATCCATCAGATATGTGTGTTTTGTCCTCTGTGGAGGAAGATCAGTCCCACAGAGTGTCCTTATTTACGCAGGAGCAAAACCCCATCTTGTGTTTGTGTCACAGGAAAAAAGGCGGTTCCGAGGTGAATAAAGCAATTAAAAATAGCAATTTTGCAAACATTTCCATCCATTTGAAAATCCACTTGTGCTTCACACTGCTGTTGAGGCCACAAGCAAGCCCAGCAGCAGCAGCATTTCTCTGTAGAGAACTACTAAACCAAGGCTGTTAAAGAGGAATGAGGGTTCCTTAGTGGCACCAATAAAATTCCACTCAAAATCATCATCAAGAGCCTCCATGAAAGGACAGTTATGATTTGGCAGCAGATGCAAGTCCCAGCACATGCAAAAAGCACAAGCACTCCAGGTCTGCATCACTGCTCAGTCAGGAGGCAAGATGTCACAGGAAAAGGTGTGCGAGAAATGAGGACCAGCAGCAGAGGAGGAGGATGATATCAGTCACTGACAGCACTGCTCTCCAGGAAGGGACAGAGTCATCACAAGGGAAATATTTTGCTGTTACAAGTATGCAGCATCTTCTTAGCTTCCTATTTTTCCCTGCAACTTTCTGCCAGGAATGTGTACTAATAGCCAAAAAAGAGGTTCACCAGCTTTCCCCCACAGATTATGTCTGTGAAGTATCAGTCACCCCATTCAAAAGCACCCAGGTGAAATCCTCATAACTGTCCCACCAAGTGCTAGCCTGGCTTTCTGACCCCTTTGAAAAGGAGCAGGAGGTTCAAGGGGTAGAGGTGATCAGAGTGGTTAGAGTAGTTAAAGTGGCAGGGGTTAAACATTACCTAACACGTGAATTCTGCTCTCTTGCAGGTAAGGCTGTGTTCCAGTAGCAGGCAAGCAGGTCTTTAGAACACCAACCCAGCCATTACCACAGGTGTGCCAAGACTTGATACTTTTATAGTGTCAGTRGTATCTAAATATAAATCACATGCCTGGTCTTCATTGCTACTGCAGCTGTCACTGTATCACATGCAGCAACATATTTGTTTTGTGAGGGAGTTCATAAATAGGACAGTGAATTTTGTCTTCAAGAAAAATGTATCTAAAAGACAGGATGTCAGGAGTAACTCCACYAACCTGCTCTTTGGTACCTCAAGCTGCAAGGAATGCACGGAGCATCTAGCCTTTCCTTTCCAGTGGATCTTGCTATGAACCTGGAACTCATGAAAACTTTTGAGACACTTTTAAGAATAAATATGAAACATTTCTGGTTTGTGTCAATTTGTGTGGCTTTATGACAGGCATCTACCCTTATGCAAACTACTGTAAGGGAGGAAGGTATTTACTCCATTTGCTTATGTCAAACTTGTCAAAAACAGATTTAAAAAGTGCTTTGGGTCAAATAAATGTTTTGTTCAAGTTGAAATATTATAGATTTGGGTTAGTTTGTTGGTTTCTTTTTCTTCTTAGCTATTAGTTAGTTATTTATTTTCTTAGTTATTTTTAGTTTCAAGCTAGAATATTTTCAAACCATTCGGTGCAGATGTGTTGACTCAAAACAAATGATATTGTCTTCTGATTTTCTCTGTTTCCAAAGCTACTTTTTAAGTCTAAAAACCAAGAAAGTCTTGCCTGTGATTGCAGTTGCCTGACTCTGGGCTTCCTGTGGCAGCACAAGAGTGCTTTAGCACACAGCAGTGGGAAAATACAGTCTGCAGTAACAAAGTGCTTCTCGGCCCCACCCAGAAAAAGCATGGGCAAGCTCCAGCTGTGGAAAACAAACTGTGCAGTCAACTCAGAAGGCACAGCTTCCCTGCACACCTTATCCAAAGAAGGAAGTGTTCCTCTTGGTCCAAAGCCCTTCTGATTGACTGTCTTGTTTTACCCAGCTGGGAACCAAGATTGCAAAATGCAGTTTAGGAGGAACACAGATTAATATCAGTGGGCTAAGAGAGAATGTGCAGGTAGAAGCTGCATTTTTTTGAGAAGGTAACACTGGCAGAATGCACAGTGTTATTGCATTTACGTGTGATAAACACAGCACAGCAAAATGAGTAAAAGTCACCATCAAAGGTTAACAGATKAGGGATATGAGCCGATGAATGAATTGCACCTGCACTTATGGAGAAACCAGAGACAGAACCTCAGATGGTTCAACTTAAGAGCATGCCACAGAATTTTAAAAAACTATTTTGAAACTTAGTTGGCTTTGCATCTTTTATTTCCGGCCTTAGGTCCTTGAGGTTAATAACCCCTTCAATGTTTGCTTCTTTTGGTGCTGGTAAAGCTGATGCCAGGAGGCAGTCCCGCTGTGCAGCACCTGCCCTAGTGGAACAAGCTCACACCACAAGGGACAGTGTGTCCTTGATGACCTACAGGATGAGATCAGTTTGCAATTAGTACATGTTCCTTTCTACTTTTTCAAACTGAATATCCTGAACAAATACCTCCTGACAAAAAAAAAAAAAAAATGTTAATAATTAAATCACTCTGCTTTTCAGGCCAAAAATTTTTCACCCATAAAATGCAAGTATCACTTGCTAAAAACTAAGAGGGCAGACAGGTTGCCTGGTAGCAGTGAGCTAACAGGAGAGCTCTCTTTGTTCCCATCATGGGAAGAGCACAATGGTGCTGGGAGCAGACACTTCTAGAAAGCTTTGGCTGTTTGCAGCTCCTTCCAGCTCTGGAAGCCAAGTATTGCCAGAWGAGTTAAAACCTCCAACAAAAGCAGGACAACGAGTAGCAGTATCTGAAACCCCGTGAGAAACCAGGAATGTTTATGCTCAGTARCCTCTATCAGGAGTAAGTTCTTCCTGTTTTCCCAAAGCGGAGTTCTACTATTCCAATTAGCTGCTTTTCTTCTGGAAGATCTCCCACCCACAGGGATTGCATCATGCAGTTCMACAGAGGGATGCAGCAATGGGGTGTTCCAACCACAAATACTTTACCAATATTCAGCAAGGTGTTCAATTTACAGCTGGCAGCCATTTGTGTGTGGGAAAAGGGGCAGAGGAAACATCACCGTAGCTTTAGGTTACTGCAGCAGCTTTTGTGCTTCCAGTTAATTTAGAGGGAAGCAGGAGCTGGTTAGTCCTAGAATGGGGGAGCAGTGGTGAGACAGTCCTCCCTCTTTTTGAAGTCACTGAGTCCTTTCACAGCCAAATGCAACTCTCCTGAGCGTGCATCCACTGCAGTCTCCTTCAGAGTGAGTCCTCCCCACTCTCAAACGTTGGATTGCTATGGCCTCCCATATTTCCCTCTACTGTTACTGCCACAGAGTCTGAGAAGAAGGTTTCATTCAGAGGTGGCCAGGCTGAGTCCTGCTCTAACACACGCTGCAGCCTCTTGTAGTGGCTCTTGGAGTGGTACTGGAAGGTCTTTTTCAGAAGCAGCCAAAGGGCCCTGTTCTCAATGACAGCCTCCTGGAAAGGTAAAAGCAAAAAGATTTTAGAGGAGCTGGAGAGCAGTTTGCTCTTCATCCAGAGTACACACACRGGGCAAATAGTGGAGACCCAGACTTCCCACTGCCCTGCTCATCCACATTCCCTAAACAGCCTTTAACTGATCACTTTTCTGACCAGTTTCACCAGGGTTCTCTGGCAGAGAACTGTGACCAACTCCTCCTGAGAGTCTTCAGGATCTGAGTAGAAAGTACCACAGACTGCCCCTATTTTTCTAGCCTGGGGCAGGACCTGATAGATCTCAGTCACCAGAGGAAAGAAAAGGTGGCTAGGCCTTGTATTCCCTTATCATTCAGATGGAGGGCTTTAAGAAAAGGGAGCAAGTGAGATGTAGCAGCAATTGCTCCTGTTTTACTGGATATTCCCAAACAGAGTTGAGAAGGACAGAGAAAGAGCAAGACTTGACCATTTTGCCTCTGCAGTTAGTGCTGACCAGTACATCCAGTGAGGCACACTCACCTCGACAAGGAAGGACACAGCCAGTGTGACTGCAAGCATTATTACCATGGAGATTCGCCACGTGGTAGGGGTGCAAACCAGCTGGGAAAAGGCAGGAGAAGCTGTTGAGTAACTTATTCACAGTAAGTACTGGTGGGTATTTGTGTAACAGAACACAAAATCATTTAGGCTGGAAAAAACCCTAAAGACCATTGAGCCCAACCATAAACCTGGCACTCGCCCATGTCCCAGAGTGGCACAGCTACGTTTCTTTTAAATGCTTTCAGGGTTGATGGCTCAACCACTTTCCTGAGCTGTCTGTTCCAGTCTGTAGCCCTTTCAGTTAAGAAATTTTCCCTACTCTCCACTCTAAACTCTCCTTGGCACAACTTAAGGCCATTTCCTCTCTATCACTTGTCATGTGGGAGAAAATAAGTGACATCCACCTTGCAAAAACCTCCTGTCAGGTAATTGTAGAATGAATTCAGGTCCCCCCTGAGCCTCCTTTTCCCCAGACTATACAAACACRGCTCCYTCAGCCATTCCTCACATGACTTGTGCTCCAAACCCTTCCCTAGCTTTGTGTCATGAAAAGCCAGAGTCCCAGACAGGCTCACCACGCTGATGAGTTAATATTGCTGCTGGTCTTGAGGAATTACTGATAAAGATGCTTTTAAACCTGTGATGCAGTACAGAAGACAGAGAAAACCATTCTTTGGAAGGGCAAGAGGAATTCTAACTGCCTTCCTATTTCTTTCTAATACTAAGAAGTAGTTCAAACTGAGTATTTCAGCTCCAAATCAAATTCCAGCTTCCCGCAGCTGGCAGGACTGGGACTGGCTTTCTGGCTGTAGCTCAACTGCTTTTGGAGATGCAGCTCAGATCCAAAATTTGCATCAGCAGTTTCTACAGGACTAGGCTATTGCAGAGATTTTTATTGCTACTCCCTCCTTTTCCCTTCTCAGCAATTCCAGTGTATTCCCTCCAGGCTGCTTGGGCTTGGGCTGGGAGTTTTGCAGTTCTCCCCAAAATCATTTTATCCCCTTGCAGCTGCAGCGCTGAAAAAATGTCGTGTGTCACCAGAGCCCACAAGAGGACGATGATTTGCTTTACAGTGCCGACTTGTGGCAGGCTCTCACTGRGTCTACCTGCTGAGCCGGGCTCTGCAAACAGTTACACAATGAGACAACTCGAAAATCGGGTAAAGGATACAACCCCAGTTCTGCAAAAGCTRAGGATAAATCCTCTATTTGGAGGTRSTCCCTAAGYRRAGACTCGTTTAGAGYTGGSCACTGGATTCAGCTTTCAGGGCASACACTGTCACTGCTGTTTGTGGCTACATTTGAACATTTGCCTCTCTCATTATTTATTYATTCTTGGTGCAACTTGACAGAGTTCTCYTTTTTCTTTCTCTCAGACAGGCCTCTCTTTTTTTAAATTATAATTTATTTTAATATAAATATAAACATTTATCAAATACTGTATAATTTTATGTTTAATGTTATTTTAAATTATAATTTATTTGTGCTCATATAAGCCAAACACAATAGTATAAAGACACTATGCACCTGGCTGTGAGGACCTTTCATGGCAAACCCCTTTTTGAAGTAAAAAAAAAAAAACTATCCCTGCCAGCTGTCCACTGAGATCTACTGCCATGGCTCTGACAAGCAGCATCCCAGGAGCCTGAATGCCAGTAAAGGAGACAATGTAGAACTGCATTCTCTTTCCAGGGTACTCTGTCAAAACACAGCATCTCCTACCCCGCTTCTTCTCACTCCCAGGGTTCTTTCAATATATGACCCATCTTAAATACTCAAATTTTCAAATGGAAACACAACAAACAGACAAACTGCATCAAACTTCAACCCTGTGCTCTTCCCTGCTGGCCAGGTGTTCTGCTCCTCATAACCCTCCAGGCAGACAGACTCCAACATAATCATCACAACACAGAAAGTGAGATCATAGGGTGGAGATCATGTAAATCATTCCACTTTAGGATGCACCAGAGAGGCAGCGCTGATAGAGGGATTGTGCCCACCCCTACCAGCTCCCATCACAATTTAGAGTTGCCATGTCTYCCTGCAAAAGTCTGTGCCTTTTGATGAAACAATCCCAGTGTGCTTATAATGGGACTGGCAGTAGGAAGGAAATCTCCTTTGGAACAATACTCACATCCATCTTGGAGTAGAGATCATCAATGTCAGCAAACATCAAGAAGAGGCAGACGCCCAGCTGYCCCATGAGCACCAGTATGAACACATCTGAAGGGACAAGAGCAAAGACAGAAACCCACAGGTCTYGTGGGGATCATTACTGCAGAAGATTGTAATAATTTTCTGTGTTATACAGCCATCAAAAGAAACCATGAGATAGAAAGGAACTTCCAGCAAAAGAAAAATGCACAGGGTAAACCCCAGCTTTACTCAGTCAAGTAGTTGTACTTGAGTGAGGGACAAGCTTTGAAACCACAGATTTAAAAGACCAAATGGGTATTTGGAATATTTGATTTGACTTCTCACATATGAGAAGCTTTACAGCCTTCCAGTGAATGTCTCTCTGATATCAGTCTATCCTGTCRTTCAGAAAAACCTCCAGAACGTAGTCTTGATCTTGTTAATATGATTAGGAATGTTGCCTTCAACTTCAGTGATGTCAGGACTTYGCTCTTGATCAGGGTCTAAAGACTCTAAATAATGGAGAACCTATTACCTTCCCCATCTGCAGGCAAATGATGAGTAAATTACTTTTCTGTTAGCTGACATGCATCCAACTTCACCCTCCACCCACTCATTTTTGTTTTGCCTTATTCCATGTGACTGATGATCCACTTTTCTGCTATCTGGGAGGAAAGCCCCCTTCTCACTGTTGCTATACCAAAGCATCAAAGCCATGAAACCTGCAGCATTATTTTAACTCTTCAGCAAAGCACAATTAAAAAAGAAAATTAAAAGAGCCGAAGAGATATTTGTCTGAGAAACTGCAATAGGTTTTGTCCCACAGAGAAAAAGAGCAGCTCTTCCTTGACTCATTGCAACTTCTGGAAGGGTCACAAACATATGTGTTCACCTACTTTTCACATAACAGTCTTTCTCCTGATTTTGTGGCTGACATAATTTTGGTCAAGTTTTAATATTTCCTTATTTAATTGACCTCCTGAGTTGACTCATATACCCCTTYCTCTCTCCCCATACTTACAGTTTGTGTAGATGGGTCGCCTGAAAGGCTTTCCCTTGGAAAACACCAGTGCTACAATGAGGCAATTGATGGTGCTCAGCAGCCAMACTGTGGTGTTTTCATAGCTCTTGAAGCCATTGTCTGCTTGCTCCTGGGCTCCATCACCCACTCCATGGAGCCCCAGGCTGGAGGATGARTTCCCCTCATGGTTCACTGAGAGGCAGGCACTGAAAAAAGTACCACACTGTTCAGGGAATGATCACTGGCCTGGTTATTTCCCACATTTCCCACTATTATCAATCAGAATCCTCCCTCACAGCCATGATACAGGATATTGGCAATGCCTGTGATCTCACCACTGGGTTGAGCTTGTTGAACTTGTCAGATCCTGAGCTCAAACCTGGTCTCTCTTGCAAYCAAATCCTCCTCTCTGTGCTCAGCAGAAGCATTCCCACCACAYGAACTGTGTGTAGCAGGATGCTGGAGAGCTTAGGGACCTCAGACAATCTTAGCTAAAATGTTTGTATCCTGTGGGCAGCACAGGGTCTGCTGCAGCTGCTCATGCTGCAGTTAAACTGATCAATATTTTCATGCAGACCAGCCCCACAAGGTCAATCTTACGGTATCCAGAGCCCCAGAAAGGACACTTACCTGTGGATATCAGTCTTGGAATACCAGGGCTGCTGCTGGACCACCACAAACCCGAAGATCTGCATGCYGAGGCTGAAGAGGATGTTGAGTACAACAGAGAGCAGCAGTGGGGGTGAGATGAGCTGGCTTGGTGGTCTGTAGGGGACCAGCTTTGGATAGGCACCTGTGAAACTCACTGAAAYATGCACAGATGTGTTTACTTGTGCCCTAGATACAACCAACACTGCTGTGTAATACTCCCTGTATCAATGGCACTTTTACAGTCTCCAATATTCTTTATAAAACATACAAAGATTGTATCAAGTWCCAAATTCAGAGCTGTTTTCTTACAAAATTGTATTGACATGGAAGAGGTTAATTAATGGCATCTGATTAGCATAAGGCATTTTTGAAAAACAAAACGTCAGCTTTTAGTTTTATTTGGCTACTGTTAGGCCCAAGGATATGAACATATACTTATGCTCTTCTGTTCTCTTTCTGTCACTTGTCAGCTGTGGYTTGGGATTTTCTGCTGCCCATGTTCTGAGCATCCTCCTGCACCAAACACCTAGTGGCTGGTTATTTGAGCTGGAGCGGGACTGCATTTCCTGATATAACAGGTTTTCCTCTGCTCTTATGTTCAACAAAGTTACCCAGCCTTTGAGTAAAAATGCTATGCAGAAAGCTTTGATGYAATTCCAGATGGGCTACTTACAGCAATGTAGTTTTTGGCACCCAGTGTCATTGTGGCTGACCTTTCTAGGCTTGATTTAAAGYATTTTCCTGTTGTCTGTGTTCCAGCAAGGACGGAACACACCAGGATGTGGTTTTGCTACATGCTTTTCATGGCTCTGTCTTTGTCATTCCTGCTTCTTAAACCTCTTCCTGTACTTACTCTTTCTCTTTCTKCTTCTCTTATTCTTGGCTTACAACTGCCTGCTCTGTAGTGTCCAATACCTGTCATTTCTTTCTTCTCCATTTTCGCCTCACTTTGCTTTAGGGGCTCCGGCCTACACAGCTTCAAACGTGAGTTGGACTAAAAAAAATTAATCCCTACTTTTTCATTTAAGCATGGAATCAGGTATCTTCTCAATCTGCCTTCCTAGGTCAACAGAAAAAAAAGCCCAATTAGGCTTTCTACTGTGCTGGGTGTGTATTTACTCCTCCTGAAGACAGCACCCCGGTTAGCAACAACCTACAYGCTCAGCAAATGCACCACTGAGTGCTCAAACAAGAGCCCTCTTCTACCAAACTAAACATCCTGTACTCTACACTGAGGATGTAGGAAGATTAGTCTCCATTTTCTTCTTTTCTGTACACAGAATTATGCATTTCCAAGGAGAAGAAAAATGTTTGAGATTATTCTCTCATTAATACATAGGATGACTAAGGGGCTTACTTGTCACACCAATTACAGTGGTAATAGCCAGGTCTTGGAACAAAAATTGGTAATTCCCAAAGGAGTTTAGTTGCTGAAAAGAGGAAAACAAAGAAAAAAAAAAAAACACAAATCAGACATTTTCCATGGGTATGTTTATATCATCTCTAGAAAGCCACATTGTATCCATGGAGCTACTCCTCTGCTCTGAAATGCTGCTCTGCAGACAGGGAGACCACACATTTCACCACCTTGCCAATAGGCTCCTACCACAGGGCCTGCAGCGAATATTCTCATTTTGCACTTTGCTTGGACTGACTACACTTCCAGCTCACTCTGTGCAATAGAAGAGAAGAATATTTGAAGAGATTGCTTTCTCGCTGCTGGGTTACTTCTGAACACAAAGCCCTTCTCTCCATCTGGGAAGAAGCCATGCAAAAGTGGTTTAAGGCACTCCAGGGGATTTGCTCACTGTCAAGTTAATTCATGCTTTAAATGCTGAATAAATTGTAACAGCATATGCTTACACCAGACTCTTCACAGACATATGCCCTCATCCAAAACACTGTTCAGTATCTCAGCTTTCTTTTTGCCCAGCTTGGATCTTGAGCTCTCTGGCTGAAGTTAATGGGAAGAGTCTTTCCAGTTTTCAGCTGAGGGTACAGGAGGACCACAGAAGTTTTCAGCTCTGCCAAAGGTAAAACCCCATCTCCTAGTTTTGCGTGGCTTTTATGTCCTGTTTGTCCTACAAGGGGGTAGCAGCTGATCCAATTCCAGCCAAGGTGTTCCCAATACATACCCAGTAAAGCAGGAGAACACCAAGGTACTGAATTGTGCTGTACAGYGCCATGTACTTGAACATGCAGAAGGAAGTGACAAGAGCAGCACGGCCCTCCCTGTGTGAAGACATGAACAGAGGACAGCAGTCAGGGATGGGKCTGCTCCTGGTGCCAGTCCTCTCAAAAGGCTCCTGTAAAACAWGGCATGTGTCACAAGCAGAGAAGCCTCTGCCAGTGTCTTGCTGGGATGTGAAATGAATAAAATCTGACGTAAATGAAAGTAAACTCTTCACTTGCAGATATCTTGTTGCAGGGAAACGGGCTTGATGCCAGTCACCTGTGTTCTGTAGACTACAATTTACAAGAGCAACCTTTTCTGCTGACATTAAKAGTGCAGGAAACAACTCCGTATGAGGAAAAACATTCAAAGCCAAGCAGCTGCAAAGTGAGTTCAAAACTAACAAGTTTTCTCCTCCCACAGTGGACATGCAGTATGCAATGAGGGTAATGCACTCTCTGTGGCTACTCAAATGCCCCAGTTACCAAAATCAGGATCCTGGCATAACAGATGCCTAATTTTGCTTGCAGGGTATCAGAAGTAGAACCTAACATTCATGTACAGGTTTGCTGGCGGACATTTAATTCGGCTTTATGGAGCATTATGCATTCTATTATTTCTTTTGCATTTAAAATACTTTTGATGACATGAAGTTCAACTGTAAATGCCCTCCTCTTGTAGTTTTGAGATAATTAATGTATCTTAAAGGGATTTCAGATAGAAACTAGGCAAATGGCAATTTCAAGGTCACAGATATTTATTTTTCTCTTGATATGCATATTGGAACTTGGTGGGAACACCCAAGAACTACTATTTGAGAGGAGTGGGAACTGCCTTCTTTATGAAATGGGAAACAAAAACCCATGCTTACCTGATCAGCTCTGGCACACAGGCTATGCTGGGGGTTCGGGATGTGAAGGGTGAAGCCACAGATGCCTCCTGCTCCGACAGYGATATCCCTGCGTGCGCCACTTTCAAAGCCTGAAAGTCAATTCCTCCTCAGAGCTCACACAGCTTACACATCAGCCAGGCAGTGATCCCTCATTACAGGATTTGTTCTGGGAACAGCAATCCCCTTTACTCCCTGAGTGTGCTCCACCCTGAGGGTTCCTCCAGCGAGATGTTGGGTCCAGGGAAAGATTGGGAATGAGAGCACAGGGAAGTTCATTTTCCACAGAGCCCAAAGCCATCCACCACCAGCTGCAGAAGTTTGGCTCTGCCTCTTCGTTTAGCACTTATWTGCTCTCACACTTTATGCAGATAGTCTAGGTTCTCTGCTTGCTTCCCCCAGGAGAATCTTCTGGGGGTTTTTGCAAAGAAAATGAATCAGTCTTTGAGATCACAAACTGCAAAAATCTCTGCCTAGGACAGCTCTTGCATGGTAAGGACCACACTGTGGGAACTAAATTAGCACTGGTAATGGTACAGGTGCTCTGTGAATAAGCGGTGCACTCCCATCTTCAGCATGTCCTCAGTTTGGAATATTCTACTGGCATTGCATTAATTTCTCATTTTTAAAATATACTGTAAAAAAATTTCACTTACCCCACAGTCATTGGCTCCATCTCCACACATGCCCACAAAATAACTAAAAAATAAAGAGACAAGACAAGTGAGGAATCAGAGTTGGCTCCATGCAAGTCATGCAAGTTTTTGGTTAAAAGTCTTTCTGGAAAGGCAAAGCCTGTCTGACCCGACAGCAGCTGAGGTGCTCACAACTTCACCCACCAGGCTGATAATCTTAAACAGTCTAAAACTCACCTTGCTCCAGGGCAAGGTCTGGGCTTAGCTGGGTGAAGTAAGGGTGAGGGTCTTTAAAAGACTTGGGAAACAGCTGAACAACAGGCAACATGATGCCTGGGACTCAGGAATATACATATATATATATATATATATATATATATATATGTGTGTGTGTGTGTGTGTATATATATATATACAGACATATACACAGATACTGTGAGCAATCCAGACTGTCCTGCCACATCTTCTAACCCACCACACTGAGCCAGCAGTAGCACAGTGAAAAGACTCCAATCATCAGGGAAGCTGCAGTGCTGGGAGAGAGTCTTAAAGTCACTGGGGGACAAGTGCCAATCCTTGAGGCCCAGAGAAGTAAAATTGATGGATGATGTGAATAAACAAAAGCAGGACCATGGGAGTGTTTGATCTTTGACATGTTGCCAAAYCAGCATGGAGTTCAGTGCCTCTTTTTTAACAGGCTTTTGAAATTTAATTTCCAAGCTGTAGATCTGTGGAGGTTTTAGTTCCATGAAACTCTGTGCTAGACAAAAGTTAGCTCTTGCTAGACTCTTTTTAAGCCTGGAAATTCAACAAACATCTTCAAAATCATTAGGAACTTACTCCAGCTTTTGAAACTCTTCTACAAGGCTGGATTTCTGACTAGGAGACATTCTAGCAAAAACTGTTCCATTCAGCAAGAGCTATAAGGAGAAAATAAAGAAATTACTGTAAAAACACTTGAAGTAAGCAATTTCAGTAATAATCTGAATAAAAATCACCAAATATCACATTTACAAACATATAATAATATTGGAGATTCATCCAGCCCATAAGTATTTCAGGGTTATAATTGTTCCCAAAAGATGTTCTGGTACAGGTCAAATCAGCTAATTGTACCAGGACAATCCATACCTCCTGAATGGCAAGGCTACTCCAGTTAAACCATCCACATCTTACCTTTGGAAGTAAGGGCCTGAAATGCTGTGCTACAATTTGGTAAGATTTTCCACTCATGGCAAAATGGTACTGGCCTGATTCCAGTGCCAGCCTGATTCCTGGGTCAGTCTGACTCTCATCCTCCTAAAAAATAAAACAGATTGAGTGCTGTGCCAGACCCTCAAAAGCTACTCAGCATTTACACAGACACTGCTACAGAGAAAGTAAAGGACACACCATGAGGAGGGTGCTTTTGAAAACTCTGGAAGAGTTGGGTTCAAGGCCTGTTGCCTTTGCTTGGATTTGTAAAGGGATTGAGGCATATAACGCCAATAATTTCAGTGTTAACTGGGTGTTTGCTGAAAGAGTTCTATCAAAAGAATTGTTGCATTTGATAGAGTTCATGCAACAGTGCCAATCTGGTGATCTGCACTGGAAAGGAGAGGGACTGGAGASATCTGATGGGCATCACATCTCTGAGCAAGTCTTTCTGCAGTGAAACACATGGCAGAAGCCTTTCAGGCTGAGGAGCCATTTCACAGCCCCTGCAGACATTCCCAACCATCTGCCTGACTCTGCACTTCCCAGAGAAGGGTCAGCACCTTCAAACTCTTCAGGAGAAAGCAACTGGTTTTCATCCCAGCTTCTCTGTGGAGATGCTTGATGAAATAAATTTCTTAGCCTATCTTGCCTAYGTGCAATTTCTCAACAGTGGATCTGTGTTTTAATTCTGCAGGAAGAGCTAACACTCTACGTGCTTGAACAGGGCAGGTTCATTCAATGCAGCTCCACAGATTTTAAGACCACATCTATACCACCAAACTTATCTTGCTGGGAAAGGAAGCATTTAAACTGGCATCAGCTAAGCATGAAGGTTGGAGACAAATCTTTCTGGGACTTCTGCAAAGCTGTTCTCTATCCCAGCTAAGCAGTTAGCAAAATGTGTTCACAGGATATTATACTATATTAGGAAGTAAGCTCTAGGGGAGCAAATTTTTATAAAGATCTACTCTTTATAAACACTCTTCTAGCACATAWTCTGATGGKGAATGGCAGGTCTCTGTTACACWAACATAAYYTCATTCCTTATTTRAAGCATTYCATCTTAGTTTGTTTTYCTGCTGCACAAAACCTTCTTCTGATATGCTCACCAGGTTTCTGTTATCTTCAGTCTTGTTTTCTTCTAGGGATTGCCAGGTTATAGATGCTGAGAAAGATCCAGGCACTTTGYTTGCTTCCACAAGAATCACACTGTGTGTTGGAGCAATCATGCCAGCATTTTTGGCAACTGTTATGGCTGTCTGAATGTTGTCCCCTA